CGTCTCCAAGGCTCATGGTCAGGCTTGGTAAGCCAAGACAAGAGCTTGAAGGTGCTCTTTAAAATAACTTTAATTTCAAAGGTTCACTTACCATTATTTTAGCTCTTACAGTTCACAATCCCTAGGCCTGGCCACCTCCTCTGATGGCCCTTGGCTTTGTTGTCCACATGTAGCTTCAACAAGAGCAAGAAAAATGGTCACTGCCTTAGACTGGGGCAGAACCATAATGTGTTTTTCAGGGCTGGATCTCACTGGGCGAGGGATGCTTGGAGACTCAGGTGGTCCGAGTTTAGTGGTCACCCAGGAGGAATTTAGTCAGCTGCCAAACGGTATTTTGAATGTACCAAGATGCAAACAGGACACTGGGACTACGATGTCCAGTAAGATAGATCCCTGGGTGTCCAATCTAGTGGAAGCAAGCAGTTTTGTAAAGGCTAAGCCCAAAATGCTGAGAAGCCCAGAAGAGCACATGATCCAGATGGGGGGAGTGTGGAGGGAGGGAAGTCTCTGAAAAGTCTCTGACAGAGATGCTTCCATGGAGCTTTGAAAGACAGTAAGAATGAACCTGATGAGTTCCAGCAAATCAAACTGCAGTGCATGTCTGGATGCCCAGGTTGGCCTGACAACATACCCAGGATATATGCATGAGCCCAGGATCCTGAGGAGCTAGAGGGCCGAGTAAGGAGATTGCGGCATGTCATGATCCCCATAAGGGTGCTTTTTTCCCCTCTCTCTCTTTCATGCACACACACACACTTTCTATCATAAAGCCCATAAAATTAAAGGTTAAAAAAAGAAAGACTTAACTTGATGAAAAAGGAATGGACATTGGAAGCAGGAAAAAGTCTTTGAAAAGAGCAGAACATAAAGCACATAAAATTAAAGGTTATAAAAAGAAAGACTTAACTTGATGAAAAAGGAATGGACATTGGAAGCAGGAAGAAGCCTTTGAAAAGAGCAGAACAGAGGGAGCAAGTCACCCAGAACAGCTGGAGCTAAGGGTGGGTGGGGGTCTAGCAGGAGATGGGCATGGAAAAGTCACCAGGCACCAGATCTGAAGCTCTTGTGAGCTGATCCAAAGGCATTCTGTCCTGAAAGGTCCAGGGAGCCTGGAAGGATCAAATTTTCTTATAGATATTCCCCTTCCTGAGGCCTGAAGTACTCAGAAGTAGTCCTGAGTGGATGGGGAATGAGCCTGTTCAGAGGACATCACATGCTCCCATTAAGTCTGGAGCATGGCCAGGCATCGTCTATTTCTGGCTTGGTTCCAGCTGCTGGCAGCAACTGGCAAGTTCTCTCTTCCCTTTCCATGGCCCAAGACTCTCCTTTAGCAGGACAGGGATAGACACTGCCACCAACCTGTCACATGGGAAGGACTGACAGAACCTAAGTGCTCCATGCAGTACAAAATAGCACAGACAATCCTGTGTTAGAACATGATGTCTTTCAAAAACAGCCAACAGGAATCAGAAATGTATAACACGTGTATTTGTTTTCTGTGGTTATTAGCAGGAAAACTGGTAAACCATCTCTTAGGGCTGATTGCAGAGCCATCTGCAGCTTTTTTTTTTTTTTTTAAAGAGATTTTTGCCATTGGGCACATATGCTTGTGAGAGAGAGAGAGACAGATAGACAGACAGACAGACAGAGGCAGTAAGAGGGAAAGTGAGGAATCACCCCCCAGGGGGATGGCTATGTTGCAGTTCCTTCTCCTCCATTCTCCTCCCGAGATCTTGGGCATGCATGCACATGTGCCCAGCGTGA